GAAGCAGCCTCTCCTGTTAAAAGCACTCTCTGAAGTCGGGGAGCTCCGCGTGCTCCGGTTACCCATAGAGTCCAGGCATCATTCGCTCCCCTTCCTCCACAATTCCAGGTTTGAATTATTTTTTTTCCAGATAATATTCTTTGTGTTACAAAGTGTCTGGAGCCGAGCTTGGCCTCCTTGCCAAATCGCAGCGCAAGCTGGATGTGCGATGCACGCAGCAGATGTGCAGGGAAGCAGCGGGTGCTGAGGCCGGCTCTGCGAGCAGGGCGGGCTTAAAGCGTCGGCTCCCCGATCCGTGGCACTCGGTGCCGTAGCCAGGCCTGGTACCAGTGCTGGGCACCGCACCGTCGGCAGGCCAGCACAGGATGCTCAGCTTGCATGAGAAAATCAAGAGCTTTGGGTCAGTTCCTCTGCTGCGGCCAGGGATGCTGTGGGCAGGTGAGAGCCCGGGGGTGGCCGGGAGGAGCTCAGCCCCAAGGCAAAGCCCGCTGCAACCCTTCAAAGTGGAAAACGTGTTTATTTCTGGGATATCGGGTTTCCGGCAGGAAGGCCGGCAACTGCCAAGGTTTTTATTGGATCCCAGTGAAAGGAATTTAGAGAGTCCTGTGCTTGTTGTCTTTCCCTGCGCCTGCGGTGGTTAAGGAACGTTTTTTACCTTTGAATGGGCACGAAGGGGCGCAGGGATTTGGCATCCGGCACCGGCCCGTCCCTGGTGATGGAATTTCAAACAGGTTGCCTTCTTGTCTCCCGGACAGGAGGCATCAGGAGGTGTCGGGGCTGGGAAAGCACAGAGAGGGGCTTGGAAGTAGTTGAAAGAACCTGAACTCCATTGGGCTCAGAGCACGTGGGACGTGTTGCTTGAGCTCCCCTCCTTGTAGCGGGGCTGGGGCCGAGTGTTTCACATTTGTTACTAGTTTGGACAAGGCTTTGACTGTTCTTGGAGGTGATTTTATAGGAGATTGAAATTCTAACGACCACGTACAGTGGCTTGATTGCTTCAGCGTGTCGTGGAGATGACTCCAGGGCTCAGATTGCCCTCGGATGCTGCCAGCGCTGACCGATGTCCTCCAGGACCTGAGATCCTCGCCAAGTCCCGTTCCTGTCCGCGCATGGGGAGCCTTTGGCTTAATGCTGGGGTTTCCCAGGGCCCCTTCTAGCCCGGCTGTAGAGCCGCTGCCCTGTGGAAGAGGAAGAAGAGGGGCAGCAGCTGTGGTTTGGAGCAGGGTCAGAGCTGCACTCGGTAGGACCAGGAGTGCGAGCAGCTCCCTGCCCCTCCCTACGGAGGAGAAACGCAACGGGCTGTTAATTCAATGCGGAATAACCCGGGGGTGAGGGTGCTCCGGAGCAGCAGGGCCAGATCCGTGGTGAGGTTGGGAGCCCGGGCTCTGCTCGAATTCCCCCCAGCCGCTCGGCCCTGCAGCCTCGGGCCCTTCCCCTGAAATCTTGTGTCTTGCTCCGACGGGCAGAGGTGAGCGGTGCTGCGCGGTGGCTCCTAAGGTCCTTGGCAAGCGCCGGAGCTCCTGGAGACAAAGA